CCCTCTTCTCGAAGTGGAGCTAAAGCATCTTCACAATCTTGCAAGGTCTAACAATCAAAAACATCAAGCCATTAGATGCTAGATACAGAAACATAAAATCCATTTGTGCTGTGATCCAAAATGCATGTTCGACTTGTCTTATTAACTTCTGTCTCTATACAATTCTGTTTAATCTTTATCAGTATTTTATTTGTATTTCACTATATTAACCAAAAGTCCAGAATTTTCTGGAACCAGCTACATCACAAAGATTAATATTTAATGCCAACAGCCATCATTCCAGAAGACATTGGACAAACAGAAAATTTGCAGGGGTAATTGAAGAAGACAATAACAACTATTTAACCCAACCAGGAAAAATTGCCAACAGAAAGTTTAGAGCAATGTCCACTAAAATTACATATCAGGATACAGTAAAAGATATCAACGGAGAACAATATTCCGCAAAAGGAAAGGTCTTAGAACACTTGGGAACTAAGCAGGTGCATGCATAACCATTGAATAGCTGAGGACTGACAGACAAACTTCCAAATGAAAAGTATTTGGATACAAGCCACATACCTGATATACGTAATAAATAGCATCTGATGAACTTTCCAGCTGGGAGATTGTGTAGTTGAGGGGAGACCTATAGTGAGCGCTTATCAAGAAGTGTCTCAAAGCCAGTGGATGGTACTTTTCAGTAATCTAATAAGAGAATGAAATTATATATTAAATGGTAGTATAAACTGAAAATATATAGAAGCTCGAAGAAGCATTAAAAGGAAAAGTTAGCACAATTTACCTCCCTAATAGTGAAAAAGTTGTTGAGGGATTTTGACATTTTCTCGTTGTTATTGGTAACATGTCCATTATGCATCCAGTAACTCACACTGCTCTCTTGGCATGCAGCACAGCTCTGGGCAACCTCATTCTCATGATGTGGAAAAATCAAGTCAATGCCGCCGCCATGAATATCAAACTTGAATGTCAGATAATGTGCACTCATTGCACTGCATTCAATGTGCCATCCAGGTCTACCAGGTCCCCAAGGGCTTTCCCAACTTGGCTCACCAGGCTTTGCAGACTGTAGATTTCTTTTGAAGTTTCATTAATTTAAAAATACAAACAAAAAACTGCAAAAAAGAGGTAAATGGTTGAGGACTTCAGACCTTCCACAATGCAAAGTCTGCAGGATTACGCTTCCTTGAATCAACAGCAACTCGTTCACCAGCCCGATTGTGTTCCAATTTTTGTCCAGATAACTGGCCATAATTTGGAAATTTATCAACAGCAAAGAATACATCCCCGCCAACCAGATATGCATATTCGTTGTTAATAATCTGCATGATATAACAATCAATAGAGAGAAACTGCAGGCCTATAAAAACAAAACAAACAAGAAACCATCACAAAAGCACAATATATAAGCATTAGAGCTAGCAGAAAACCTGTGTTATCAAATCCTTGATATGTTCTATGTGCTCAGAAACATATGGCTGATGGGTGGGAAGAAGGCACTGGAGATCACCCATGTCCTTGAGATATTCTTTGCAAAAACGACTGCTTAAACTAAATGGATCTTCACCATTCTCATTTGATCGCATTATTATCTGAAACATCCAAACATTAGCAATCAACCATGGAGTAAAGAACTAATTGTTATTCCAGATTCCAGTGTTTAATCTAAACCCTTTTACAATGAATTCACATGAGTTGATGAGTTAAGAGTGTTACACACGCGGAACAATAAATGACAACAGGCACACGGCAAAAAGAAAGAGAGATGCTTCTAAAATAATTGTGCAGATAAAGACAGGATGTAAGAACTATAACCGCTAAATGCACAAAATTCTTTCAAGAACATGGAAAGCCATATGTCTCAGATATTCAAATGCCAAACAATGTTAAAGCATTAGCCAGCTGCTAGATAACTGATTCTGTACATAAGAAAAAAAGACCTCGATATCAGGCCAGTAATTTAGTCAAAAAAAGGTAAGCAGATTTATAGCACTAAACAAGCCAAACGAAAAGTTTTAACTATAATGCGATAACAAGTATACGATAACTGAAGCATTAACGTTTTGTTTCGATGACGGATTCCCAAGTACTAAGGGATTTAGCCTAAATTACTTAGAAATGCCCTAAAGGAAACATTAAGTGGAGGGGCTGAAAATGCACCACATGAGCATTACAGCAAGAATTTTTAAGGGTATTAGTATAACTATAAACGAACCAAAGCAGAGCACACGCTAATGAAGGGTAACAAAGGAATGCAATCAAAATCATCTCATGATACGGTTCAAGATTCTCACCTTGTCATCAACATCAGTGAAATTCCGGACATACGTAACCTCGTAACCCAAATGCTTTAAGTATCTGTAGGATTCCAATTCAATGTCACGCATGATTAGTTGCCACAAACTAATCTTCACTCATGTATTATGCTAAACAGATTTGGCAGCGTTTGACAGTGATCAACCAACTAGCTTTATCAAATTGATAAAACAAAAAAAACAACTTAATTTCTAACAGAAATCAAACATATCAAATTCCACACTAATCAAAAGCACAATTAATTGCATAATTATTAAATTAAACATGCAAATAATGAGATTAAATGTGCAAACCTGAAGAGGACATCGAAATTGACGGCGGCGCGAGCGTGGCCGAGATGGCTGAGATCATAGGCGGTAATTCCACACACGTACATGCTGACCTTGCCGGGTTCTATCGGCCTGAAGATCTCCTTCTGGCGGGTCATCGAGTTGTAAACCATAAACTCCTTGCCGGCCGCCATTCTCGGATTTCTCAACCCTTTGCCGGCCGCTCAATGCTCTCTGTAAAGACTTCTGCAATCGAATTGAGAAAAAACCTAAACCCTGATTCAAGTTCCTTTTTTTCCAATTCGATTCGCAGTGCATAAATCACAAGGTTTTGCTTTTTTTTTTTATTTTTTTTATTTTATTTTTTAGTGAAACGATATCGTTAGTAAGTTAAATATTCGATTAGTCACCGACAGAGTTTAAACTCATGCCGTTATGCAAAAGCACAATACCGCAAATAAAAGAAAGTGACAGAAATTTGTAATGCTTTGCATTTTAAGTTATAAAATTTTTAATAAGATAGAATTATTAGCATAAAAGGAAATTTTTTAAGTTATAAAATTTTTAATAGGATAGAATTATTAGCATAAAAGGAAATTAAATCTGCCAAAGATTTTTAAAATTTATGTCACAACAAATCATTCATAATCCCAAAAAGTAATCATTCCTAATTAGAATTTTGAGAAAAAACAACTTAATTTGAAAATTTTATACTTTTCGATCAAAATATTTTGAAAACTTTCCATTTTTTTAGTTGGCCTTTTTTAAGGTACTAAAATTAATTAAAGGTTATTTTTTTAATTTAAATTCCATTAAATGTTAGATTTTAAATTTTATAAAATGTCAAACTTAATTGATATGAAAATATACTAATATATTGAGATGCACAAAGTAAAAAAAACTTTGATAAAAACTGAAAATCTCTTGCTTATGACTAGGACTTGTGAGGTCCATAAGAAATGATATACGCCTTTCAATACGATAAAGGCCCAGATGATGCGACTGAAACCCCACGAGGAACAAGGCCAGGCCCATGATATTTACAAGGTAAAAAGGTGCATTGCCGAGGTAATCTGTAAACGTGACACAAATGACGTCGAAAATTTGAACTGTAACTTGCAATAAAAGTTATTCAGCTCTCAACTCACAAAACAACGATTCTACAACCAACATTTCCATTGATCTTGTCGATCCACTTAGACTGCCGGAGACAAGTTTTGAGATGTATTTCTAGCAAAGTTCTAAAAGGTACTAGGTACTAATCGGGTGGCGGGTATAGACCCAGCGCTTAGACTCCTAGGCAAAGGTAAGAGCATCTCTAATAGAGATGTCAAAAGATAAATGTCAAATGTTAATTTAATGGCTGACGTGGTAATGTCAAGATTTCCTCTTTTTCCAACCGATATGTTTTTTTTTTGTTATAAATGATTTTTGTATGACCAATTTTAAAAATAAATCAATTAAATAAACTTTTTAAGATCTATAATTGGAGCATTAATGAGACCCAAACAATAAAATAATTAAAAATTATTTGACATCACATTTTCTCATATGTCAATCTACATAGAATTGACATATTGGTTGGAGCTTACTTCTACCTTCAAATTTGATTACATGACATCTTCTTTGGAGATGGTCTAAGGTGGTTTATTGCATTTTATTAAAATTTATTATATAACATATAAATAAATATAACTTACCCTAAAAAATACATAATTGTATTGGGATATTATAAATTGCAAAATAGAATGACATATAGAGTATAAAATATTAGAACATATTGAAAACATGAGGAAAAAACATCTAAGTGAGAGTCCTGACCTAGGCATGCTAGATGGAAGCCTAGGTAGGTCTAGACATCATTTCTTAATTTTTAAATGTCTAAAAATTAATTAGAGCAGTGGCTAGCAGCTTAACGCCTAAATAGTGCTCAACGGGATTTTTAGAGTGATTTCTAAGAGCTTTTTCTTTTCTTGCTTATGATAACATTGGTAGCATGTGAAACCATTAAGTTGGTCTATATATTGTCATGGCCTCGATGTTTAGCGATTTCTAAGACACTAACTACCCTGTTTAGAGATTTGTTAAGAATAATCAAAGATCTTATGAGAATGTGCACTAATGATGATGGCAGATTTTTTATACCTTTTGTATGTTTTTTAGGGAGTTGTCGTGTATGAATGCTTCTATTAAACAGCCCAAGCTTCATTGAAGTTCTGCTATCTTCCCTGTAGGCAAAGACACAGTACTATGCGGTCCATTTACTTCACTTTCTGCCAGCTTAATTTATTAGATTTCTACTACGGATTACCATTCTAAGTATCTGAACAGCGCAAGCGTAACTATATCGATTAGAACATATGAAAATTAGTTTAATTTAAAATCTCATTTATGTAAAATAAATGATATCAAATGTCACACAATGGTGATTTATTATCAATAATTTAAAAACTTATTAAAAACAACGTTCTTCTGCCCCAAAAATACAAATTGCCACTCATGTCATGAAAAAATGGAATAATTTCAAACCTATATCCACAATGTGAAAAATATTAATGTGGAAAACTTAACAAATTGAATCGATAAATAAAACAATTCATTCAAAAATCAACAAATACGCAAAAATTTGAACTCAAATTTTGATTAACTTAAAACGACTCCTGCCTCTGCATTCTCATTTCTTCATAGAACCTCTCAATAAACATCTGCGCCCGCAAATCAATGGAAGCTTCTTCTTCGTGGTCTTCCCAATCCAACGGCTCATATAAAGCCACTGCATTGTCATCATTTCCGGTGGTCGGCAGAGCTTCCAACGTGAAATCTCCATCTTCTCCTTCAACTCTCAAGCTGTTGCCCCAACATTTGCAGAGAAAGAACATCGAATACACGTCTCGAACTCGAAGGCTTTCGTTACGAATGAGGGGAGAGTTGGAGAGAGAGAACTGGTATTCTCTTACAAACCCATAGTCGTAATTCTTCAGAAGCTTCATCTTCTTTGAATATTGCAACTTCCTAATAAATGAGTTTTCAAATGATAATTTTCTCACTTTGGCAACGAAGATAAAGACTTTCAGAAGCTTGGAGAGATTCTGAAAAATGGGTAGTCGTCTTTTCGACATTTTTAGTGAAAACTTTGAATTAACAAAATAGAAATTTACATACAACGAGTACACTTACCCAACCGACAATCTAGAAAATTAGTCACTCTTATCTTTTAGTTGCAGGAAAGTTTGAGTTGGGGTTTGTGAAGGAGGGAGAGAGCATTTTTAAGGAGGCAAAAAGTGGAAGGAAGTGAAAGGAATCTAATTGGTGGTTGGGAGCCAAGCTGTAAAGAGCGGGTATAATGGTCGGTTGCTTCTTCTTGTTGTGTTGTTTAGGGTTTAATATATAAAGGTATAAGCAAACTAGCCGTTGGATTTTGGACCCCGATCGATGGGTTTCCTTCCTTCCTTCCCTCTATAATTCTATGAGTTTAATTGGACTTTTAAAACCGATCGATCTCACGTTTAAAAGGCTACTTTTCTGATGATTTCTATATGTATTTTGATGTTTGCCACGTGATTAGAGAGCGTATGAGGAGCTTTCTGAATTGTGCAACGGCTCCGAGTTTAAGGGCAGTTCAAAAAGGGTTTATTACAAAAATATCCCTCAAGGGACCCCCAGAATTTGTATGCAAGATGAGCCTACCGGAGTGCCAATCAACCAAGCCGCCAGGGACACACTCGACGAGCAGACGAGGGACGAGTGGTAGGAGCCGACAAATAGTAGTGCCGGTTTAGTGAAGTCAAGTCTTTACGTTTATAGGGGCTCCCCGACGATCCCAAAAGCAACCTGTTCTGTTCCATAGGGCCACCTGCTTTCTTTATCTCGCTTGCGGCGGGATGATGATGAGTATATAAATCAATAAAGACCAAAAATAAGAAATGGCAAGAGAAATTTTATATCGATGGAGGAAATAACGATGTGGAAAACAGGGCAGGGATTCTCTACAATGACCATCGTAGACCAGAGAATGTTTACTTATTTGGATTAGAAAAAGTGAAAGAGAAAAAAGAATTGATGACAAAATCAGCTTCGCTAGTTGATACGATTCATGATTTTTCCAAGTATTAGATTAATAGTTATAATATGGAACTACAAGTTATTAAACACAAGAGAAGTTTAGAATTTTAAATAATTCCAATAAATTACAATAAATGTAGGTAAGTAAACATTTCATATATCCAAAGGGAGTTAAGTTTAAGAATGAATTTTACATGCATGATTTTTTTTTTTCCAATTATATGCATGATTACATAGTGAGAATCCCGATTCACAAATGACAAAAACACTCCATAATGTTTAACAATTTTTTTTTTTTTTTTTTAACATTAGAAGAGGTTTCAAGTTCTTGTCATGCATTGATAAACAAATGTAACTATATATCATCACTCATACCATAGTGAGAACCCCGATTTCCAAATTACAGAAATTTAATAATTTTTTTTTCCTAATGTTAGTAGAGGTTTCAAATTCTCGTCATGCATTCATAAATGAATATAACTATATATTATCAATCCTGCATCCAAATATGAGAAATTGATGATAAAAATTGAACTTCTAAATGTTATTGCACTTCTTGTTTCTTCATTGTTAAACCAATGTATACAATAATACAAAGTTAGTTTACCTTGTTTTGTATTCAAGCATGCATATATACGTACCGTATGGGGTTGGGCATGCAGATCTCAAGTGTTTCTTTCTCCTTACACATTCCTTAATTTTCTATCACTTTCAATTAATTTGCAGTTTGAAGATGCTTTTACAGTTTTGGTGGGTTGTCCGACCCGACTTGATTTGTAATTAGGAGATTGATGGTTAGAGATGAAAATAAGGATAATACTTCCCTCCTGAGAATAAACCCTACATGGACGAGGGAGGAGTCTTGTATGGTATTTTATAATTAAATTGAGTTACTCTCTATTTTGACAATTAGTTTTATGGTAGAAACTCAATTCTCTTCATGATATTAGAGCTTGTTATTTCGGGTGTGAAACACAACGGTCACTTGGGCTCCACGTCATCCCATTTGTGTGGTTCATGTGTTATGCTTAAAAATTCACCGCACGTGAGGGATGTGGTTAGAATGAATCCCACATTAATAATAGGACGAGCCTTGCATAAGCTTATAAATAAGTTAAACTATTCCCCATATTATCAATTGATATTATGATAGAACCTCAACTTCCTTTAGAAAGTCCTTATTTTCTCTAACGTGACATTATTTTATCATACAAATGTCTTAATCATTTATGTTCATTCTCTTTACTTCATGCAGAGATTGTATTTGAAAATTTTATATGATTTGAAAATCATTTAACCATCTATATAAATAAAAAAAATTAATAATCACGAGGATGCTACATATTATCATAATCGTCGATTTTTTTGATATATATGAATAGTTAAATGATCGCTAAATCAAATGAATTTTCTAAAATTATCTTTACATAATGATGCAAAAAATTGAAACAATTTTATTTATGACGTTGCTACATAAAATGATTTTCTTTCCATCTTCTTCCATTTCTTCAAGAAAAAAAAAAAAGGAAAACTAATGAAAATGATTTAAAAACTTTGAGTTTTAACGAAAATGACAAAATAAATGGTAAAATGAATAGTATAACATGATTGACCTTTTAGTGTAAAAATGTATTTTTTCGTTAAAATGAACAATACAAGGAGTTTTTCGTTAAAGTTTTCAAAAAAGAAACCATTCTTCTACATGAAAATAATCCATGTGTTGACTTCTTATAAACATGGCTCCACTCGGATAAAAAACAATAAAAAAATGTGTTCACCCTTGACTATTTCAAACCATTGGGCTTGACCCCTTGTTGAACCCACACGATACAATTCAACTGCCTTGTTATAGTAGGCTAGTAGCCGTTGGCCAGTTTACATCTATGGTATAATATTTGTACAATTTCCTCTACGATTCGCATCACCCACATTTTCAATTTTAGATGTCTATGACAAGTAATAAAATAAAATAAGAATTTCGTTCAGAATAATTGAAAAGAAAGAATAAAATTTGACTAGCGTGATCTGATCATATTTGACAATGTATAATAATAAAGTAGTTCAAATAAAATTTCATTAAAAATAATTAGAAAGTAAGTACAATTTGACTAGTGCGGCTTAACCGTATCCAATAATATACATCAATAGAGTAAATAATTCACCATAACCAAATTTTCTTATCCGCACATTGGTTCAAAATTTGACTAATGCGGCCCGACCGTATCCAACAATGTATAGCAACACAGTAAATAATTCATCATAATCAGATTTTCTTATCCGCACGTTGATTTACGCTTCTTTCACTCCTTTCTATAAATGTTTAAAATTGCGAGATTCGATTATTATTGTCAAGGTTTGAACAATACACAATTATATTTGCACATGTTCCATTTTTTGTGAAGAAAAGAAAGGCATGCTTTACAAAAATGAATATTGCCACCAAAAGGAAAAATATTAAGTGAAAATAATTTTCATTTTTGAAAATCAAATGAATATAATTTTAAATCAACGGCTGGGAGAAGAGATCAAAGAGGTAAAGTTCAAATCAGAGGGTGGTTGAGGGCAAAGGCTCACTCAAAAACGACGCATCACCCGGGAAACCTCAGCGGTGCGGAAAACACACCAAGCGCGCACATTAGCATTCACCAAAAAGAAGAGGAAAAAAGAAAAAAAAAATCCAGAGTATATATAGCCCGAACGTTAAAACGCCCTCTCTCGGAGTCTCTCTATTCGCTCTCATCATATATAAACTTACGTTTCCCGGCGATTTGCGAGAGAAAACCAACACAGTAACAACAAACCCAATAGAAAAATTCTCCCTTTTTCCCAGAAAATCCCGAAATTTTCCGAGAAAATCAGAGGAGGCGCGAGAAACAGAGAGGGCGAGCTGTGATCTGAGAGTGGCTCTCTTTGGTCTGAGTTTCCGATAAATGGTGTATATAGGCGGGGCGGAGGAGGAAGAGAGAGTGGCGGCGAAGTCCATGGCTATGGGTTCCGAGAGGACGAAGGCTCTGCACAATTTCAACTTGCCGTGGGATTTGAAGTGGGGGAACCAGAAGCACCTGCGGTGCCAGAAGGAGAGCTCCGACGCCGGCGGGAGTGGCGGGGAAGGGTCGGGGGCTAATCGGCGATCGTCGGCTCAGAGGATGGAGAGCTCGCCGGCGGTGATGACTCGGCGGAGGGATTTGGAGTTCCAGAAGCGGAAGTTTCGGGCCCCGAGGCCGAGGATCGAAAACGACGACGCGGAGGAAGGGATCGATGCGTTTAGGCAGAAGCTCATGTTTGATCTCAAGACGGCGGCGGATAAGATGAAAGACGCGATTTTGAGGGAGGAGGAGGTGGCAGTGGCGGGGGCGGCTGCTGATACTGACGTGGCGGCGGCAGATGAGGATGTTGAGATGGCGGAGGTTGGCGAATCGGAACCTCCGGTTGCGCCGGAGCCGGAGCCTCCGGAGGCGAGGCCGTGGAATCTGAGGACGAGGAGGGCGGCGTGCAAGGCTCCAATGGGCGGCGGCGGCGGCGGTGCTAAGGTGGTGAGAATCGAGGAAAAGAAGGCGAATTACTCGCCGTTGAGGAGTGAGGGTAACAATGGCGTGAAGTCGCCGAGGCTGGTGAGAGGGGCTTCGGTTTCGGGTCCAGAGAAGAATAAGGAGGAGGAGAAGCCCAAATTCTCGTTGACGCTCACCAAGAAGGAGATCGAGGAAGATTTCATGAAGATGCTCGGCCACCGCCCTCCCCGACGCCCAAAGAGGCGGCCAAGAAATGCTCAGAAGCAATTGGATGTACGTCAAATTCCCAAATTCATAATTCGTGACCCTCCTCTTAGTTTCTTGACTTCTTCCCTCTCGGCCATTCTGTTTGTTTATCAAATTAACTGACGGCGGTTGTTCTTGTTGCAGGGTTTGTTTCCCGGTGCGTGGTTGACGGAGGTGTCGGCGGAGACGTACAAGGTTCCTGAGTTCCCTGAAAATACAAAGGTGATTGCTTTCTTCTGACTTCTCTCTCATAACTTCAAAAGTCTTCGTCTTCAAACTTTTCATTGATTTGAATATTTGATCAACACTGAGTCACTGAAGAAATTGGGGTGTCTAAATAATGCAATTATCCCCAAATTTAGCTGATTATTTTCTTGGGGTTTTCCAATTTTCATGAGTTATGAAGATTATGGAATTCAAAGTTCCCGCTTTTCTTTCTTTCCCACATTTTCAAATCACAACTGTGTTCAGTGCTGAACTGTTTGCTCATTCTTTTTTGCAGAGGTAGTGATCCGGGCAAACGTGGGCTTATGTGGATTGTTTCAAGCCTCTGGTTTATTTCTGACTGCTGCTGCTGCTGCTTGCAAAGCTGATTAGTGGGTATGCCCACACACACATACACATTGGAGTTTTGATGAAACGTATCAAATCCCCTGTTACTGCTGAATGTTCAGTTGCTTTGGAACACTAATTTTGTTTGTTAATTATAATTCATCTTCCCTTCTTTTTCTGAATAAAATGTAAATAAGGGAAATCTGGCCGGATTCTATTATATCGAAAATAACATTTGTGGTCTGAGCTAGGTTTTCCTTTTCGGTGACTGTCTAATATAATATCAGTTGCATTTGATCTCAGTGTTCCCATCGTTCATCTTTGTTTTCGTTTTCTTTTCGGGTGCATGCTTGGCCACATACTACTTGACAATTTTGAATCTTTTACTGTTCTCTTCATTTACACCATCTTTGAAACAAGTGAAGTGAATGAAAGAGAAGAGTGGCTAGGGAATTAATTGTTTGTATGGAAATGGACTTGTATATTTCCTTCTTTTCTGTACATTGTAAAATATTAAATGAGCATGCTCTTTCGAATGTAATTGAACTTTTGAGCTAAATGCAAGTCTAATGACTTGTTTTGAGGTCTCCGTTTCATGGAAGTAGTGTAGCTTCAAGGCGGTAGGTTGTACCGGAAACACTTGTTTGCTCCTACTTCTTGCCTGTGTTTTGGTTTTTGGTGTTAATCTTCACAGTTCTGCCCTGTCCTGCTCAACTACCTCTATTAAAACATCGTTGTTTCGCTTAACTAGTAGTATTAATCTTCATAATTCTGCAATCTTTTCATTTCTTCTTTTGTTTCGTTTTGGTACAGATGCAATCTTTTCATTTTTACCCGCTGATTACCATCACATTCACACTACAAATTTCTGGAACAATGATTTGTAATACAGTAACACCTTGGTCATTGTTTATCGGTAGTCAATTGTTCGAGATGTGAATAATGTAGATTTTATGAAATTTTTATGAATATAATGTTTGTCTTTTGCATCCTGTCCTTCTGGTGTGAGATGGATAATGTTTGTTTTCTTCTTTTGTTTATTGCCTATTGGAAGAAGGCATGCTACTGTTTAAAGTCAATCCTTCACATTTAATTTGGCTTGTTTAAAACTGAAAACTTCCATCAAACCCTAAACAGTTGGAAGTTCTGTACGTTGGTGACCATTCATCAACGTCTCGTGATCAATGATCTTAGCATTCATTGTTGCATTGTAACATTGATTCGAGACTTCACGGTCTCTGCAGGACCTTTTCCTGTCCTGAGATTTTCCTAGCCTACTCGTTTGTTTGACTTCCACTTTGACTCGTGAGTTTTGTTCCCGGAAATGGATGACCTGTTATTCTTTTGGCAGAAAACCTCCCAGGCTGCTGTTTGACTCGGCAACTTGTCCTTGCTGTGACTGCGCGTTTGCGTAGTGTTGTTGTCTTTGGGTTCTCAGTTTCAAATTTCCAGTTGTTCAACTGTTGAGGCCCAACCCAGTTTGTGCCTCCAGTCCAGTAAATCTTGCTCGCAACCTTTAAGGGGCCTTTTGCAGTCCATGATGGCCGCAGAACGTTGCGATCGAGTGTGCCCGTCACACCGTCATATTCCCGCTTTGGTGATAAAATGTACCATGTGCGAAATCCGCCGAATTATCTTTTATACTAATTCCAATCCGTCATTGACTGACGTTCTTTCGCAGATGTGTTTACTTGCATGTAATCCGTAAAGGAATAATCCAACTTCAACCGTGTGTGTCTTGTTGCCATTGTTTGAGCTTGAACTTCCTCCCTCGTTGCCGCGACCTTTTCTTGTTGCCACTGTCTGTAGCTGTTTTGGTTGATGAAGTTACTATTTGCCAGAACAACAACGAGCCATCGCTTGGAAAGTACAAGAGAGGCATCCTAAAATCTTCATACATCACACAGAGAAACAAACATTTTGACAAGACGATATTCTAATTTAAATTACCCTAACTTACGTGGAATTTGAATTTGACTTTAGACGAAATGAGACGGACACCTTCCTTACTCAACTAACCTAACTCACATTTACAACTATTTCGAAATTCCAAATTATACATGAAAACAAAAGAATTGTTGTATGAATTTTCAAAAGAGTAAAAAGAGAGTCAAATTTACTTATTTGGTAATTTGAAAAAGAATGAAAAAGAACGAAAAAGCAGAAAAGAAAGAAGGGGATGTGAGAGTGAAAGAAAGATACCTTGTTCATCTGTCACCTAACACGTTGTCCACTCTACTTTTCACACTTCCAACCATGAAATTTACCCATCACCATAAAAAAATTCTTCAATTTACAGAGTATGAATATTATCACATGGTACCTAATAATACAAGATTGCAGACAGCTAATTTCATCTGTACTTGGAAGATTTAACACAGTCATTTCTTCTTCTTTCTAAATCTACCGTTACAGAAGAGAGAACCGAACCCGAAAAAATTCACAGTAACTTTGGAAATGTAAGGCGGTGGGAGATTCAGAACAGGGCTGATTCTGACCCCATTGCCGTGAGATTCACTCTTTCTCAACGCCGGCTTCTGATTCATGTTGTTGTAAGGATAATATGTACTCGAACTCGACGCAGACGATGATCTTCTGCTCGAAACCGATGTCTGTTTCTGCAAATGCTGCTGCTGCTTCTGATGAGTTGCTGTTGTTGTTGTTGTTGTTTCCTTTGGAGGCAATGCTTGCTTTTGATTTGGTTTTGGAGCCGACCCCGTTGAGTTGCTTCTCGAAAGAAACTGAAGCGGCCGGATTAGGCTCTTGCCGCGAGCAGCGTCGCAGTTGAGACTGCTGCTCCGCCGGAACTGCCAGAATGGCTTTGCTGTTGGAGGCTTGTCGGTTTCATCTGCATCGGCATTGGCGTCTAAAAATTCTTTCAACCTCTTCTTCTTCTCATCTGTCTTTAGCCTCTCTGCTTTTATAGGTGTTGCGCGATGAGCAAGGGTAGGAGGAGCTGCCCTCTCATCATCAGCCTGACGAGTAACTGTTTTCTCTTCAGGCTGGTGAGTTTCTTTGGCGGCGGCGAGATTTCTCTTGATTTGGACAGGGAGAATCTTCCCATTGGAGAAAAGCTCGTCCGCCGAAGACAACTCCAGCTTGAGATTGTTTACAACGCAGAAGTCGAAATCGGCAGTGGAATCCAAGAGAGAGGAGTCTAACCGTTGCCCTTGTTTCGGAGCATGATTCGTCTTGTCCAGATCATGGGAAAATGAAATTCTTGGACTGAATCCGGGGCTCCAAATCTCCGAGCAGACCTCAATGGCCATGGTTGCTCCAAAACCAACTAACGAAGTGTTTCGAATTCGAAGAGAAGTGCCTGAAACAAGGCTTTAAAATCCAGCAGAGAGCCCAGAGTGGCATTGAATGTCGGCAGATTCGGAGTCAAAAGAAGCGAAAAGTCGGCAGGAATTTGAATTATGGGAATCAGAAGTCAGAAGCCAGAAGCCAGAAGCAGCAGCAGCAGCTTTGGCTTTTCCATTTTTGTCTGTGCTTTGAGCATTTCTGAGAGATTGTAGCAGCATTGGAGGATATCAGAACAATTCTGCAGATTGCAGAGGTCGTTATATTGCCTTTTCCCCCGAGTTATCAGAACAAAAGGAGAAAGATAAAGAGAAGGAAATTAAAGTGGTTGAATTTAAGCACCGAAAGGCTAGAAAAGAAGACCCTCAAACCCTCTCTATGAGGTTTCCAATGAAACTTTTACTTTTGGGGATGGGAAAAACAGAGTGAAAGTGAGTTGGGTGAGGGAAATGGGATTTAAAGTCCAAAAAAAATAAAAAAATAAATCGTCGGTTTGTTTGATACATATTGGAACTAAATGATTAGGAATTGATCGATTTTGCAGACATGACCGTTAAATGATAACTGCAAATTAAAAAGTTTCAATAACGATATTTATACGGTTTAAATACGTCCACCACAACTGAGTTGATAAAAAAATATATTCACGAATTAATGATGAAAATATATATAGATGAAAATAAAATTTTGGCAGCAGCCACCTGATTAGATTTTCCATTAGGAAGGTGCTATTGTGCTTCATTTCTGAAATCAATCAGTAATAATCCATGCGAATATTTATCTAGTACTATATGGTACATTATGCAAATTATAACAATAATCCAGCTTTATACCATTAAGTAGGATGGGTAATCCTAAAACGTCATTGTACACAGTTGTGCCAAGTCTTCCGTTCACTTCAAGTACTTCATATCTTCTCTTATAGTCTCTTTAAAAGTCTTTATAGATTTTCCTCTACTCCTTGTATACTTGGTCCCCATCTCATATATTTTGCAAATTACAGAAACCCAAAATTTCTGAAATCTCTATATGAAAAGGAACAAAAATTACATGGGAAGCAATAATGCTTCTCGCTTTGTGAGGGTCAGGAGATGGAGGAACGTCTATCATACGCAATTTTATTCTTTATTTGTAAAATAATTGTTTCCACGATTTGAATCTGTAACATTTTGATTGAAAAAAAAAAACAAACAAACAACGTTTCCGTAGCCAAAGCTCGCTCTCATCAATTGAAAAATAAACTTAATATATTTTCGGGATATAGACAGAAGGTTACGTCCAGATCTAAAAGGTTGCCATTTGGATATAAAAATCCAATCCAGCAAGTTCCGAATTGAAAATAATTTAGAGAAACAAAGCAAAGGTGTGTAATTTGTTGCCTAATTGGTTGACATAAGATTGATGATTGATGAGGCAAACAATAATGTGTCACGCGACGTAGGGTCCATGTGGGACTCAGCCCCATAACGTTGTTTTGTATAGGCATTATTTGTTGCGTTGCAAGCGCTCAAACTAGTTTCAACCTTATTAGGGCAAAGACACAATGAAGTTGTACTAAATCTAAAAGCATGTGATCATGTTAGAATGTGAGAGCGTCCAACACAAAAACATGTGGAGAGACTCAAAGTTGTTCAACTACGTATGTTAAACTTTAATATTGGATGTGAGTTACTTTCAACATGTCTTTTTATGAGTGACATTTTTTGGGAACATGATTTAAAGGATCATGTTTGTGCGGAGCTTTAGGATCAATCGATCCTGGTCATTCACCACATATCGAACGACTACAATTTCACCAACCTCATGTTCACTCCCTTCTCTCTTCTCTCTTCATTGCTTTTCTTCTCATGTTCACAGATCGAATGAGTTCGTGACCGAGGCATGTTGATGACTCGTCGTAAACTCGATTAGCGTAGAGAACAAGTTCGCCACATAAGAGAGGTTACGATCCCACCTTCGTCGGCGATAGTGTGCTTTAGTGCACAATGAATGCGCAAATCATAAATAGTGTTTGGTTGGGCAGAATTGTAAGGCGATGGATGAGGCATGACGTCCATGGATTTGGAGGTTCTTTGGCCGCAACTGCGCTCTTCGATGGCGTGATTTTTTTTCACTGTTCGATATATCATGAACGACTCGGATTAATGGGTCCCAAGTATCCGCACAAATAGGATATGAAGAGGATCCTCTTTCAGACCTTTTGTGGTTAACACTTTTCACAATTTTAATTGGATATATGGGAACATGTGGGACAATTGGACAGATCACATGAATATCATGTTAGAATGTAGCGTCTAATCCAAAATTATTTAACTATGTGCGAATAGGTAATCTTTAAGCACTAATATTATACTTAAATCATTCCATCACTCTCAATATATTGAAGTGGGATCCATGATGAGCACCCGCACGAAGGAGACTTCGATAGTTTTGGTTTATCAGGACTTATCTCGCATGTGATAGAACTAAAGTTACGAAAGCTAAAAATTACGTAAGATCAAAATACAAATGAACACATATTTTTGCGATATTTACTTTATAAAAAATATGATCTTTTGTTACGCGCCCTACTGATACGATCACAATTTGTAATTGTAGAACGTGCAAGTACATGCTACACACGAAGGATTTGACACATGGGCTAGTACCTCTGTTTGACCTTAAAAATAAGGGCTCCAAAGAAATGACTAGGACGGAGGGACAGACAATGCATGATATAGGCCCACGTAACACGATGTCAGTGTCCCTTAATTTGATGGGCTTGTACATTCCTCGTCCCACCGCCCACATGGACCCTGTTTGGGAATCTAATTAAGCATATCCCCGAAACGTTGTCGTTAAGGCATTAAAATACATAAACCCCAAATTAAATTACCCAACATAAATACATGCAAACGCCAAACAGCGCTTTTACCAAACGAAAACTACAGCGGAAAATTGAAGTGAAACGTCGTCAGATCTAGACCCGGATCCGACCCGCCAGCGGAACGATGCTGACAGCTTTGACTATCGGGTAACCTCCAGATTTCCACAAACCGACACGACCTTTCCCTCCATACAATCTTTTATTCCCGCAATTTGGGCCGGTTCGAAATGAGAAAATGGAGCCGCCGTGGGACAAGAGCATGAAGAAGAAGCGGAAGCGGAGCCGCCGCCCCGTCAGGCTGAGATGCTTCGTCAAGAATTACGATTGGGGCATTGTCGGCCGCAATTCCAAGGTCGCCAGGCTTTTCGCGCTCAATTCCGGGTCTGACATCGACCCGGGCAAGCCGTACGCGGAGTTCTGGATTGGGACTCATGAATCTGGGGCGTCGTATGCGGATTCCGGGTCGGAGCCCTTGAGTCTCAAGGCCTGGATCTCGCAGGATCCTGGTGTGCTTGGAGACAAGGTGGTTGAAAAATGGGGTGCTGATCTTCCGTTTTTGTTTAAGGTATGGGTTCTGTTTGTTGTTTGGTTGCTGAGAAAATGCTGAAGAGGGAAAAGAAAATTGAATAGTTAATGATAGTTTGTGAACACTGTATTTGCATTTTGTTTCTTGTTATCTGGGTAATACATTGTAAATCTGAGATTTAGAACTTTGTTCTGCAAAATGCTAGTGATTTCTTTTGCAAGATTATGGAGTTTTGGGATTATTGTGGATTGTAGGTGCTTTCGGTTGGGAAGGCGTTGTCGATACAGGCTCATCCGGATAAAGAACTGGCTAGGGTGTTGCACAAGTTACACCCAAGTGTTTTCCGAGATGACAATCACAAGCCTGAAATGGCATTGGCATTGACGGAATTCGAGGCTCTTTGTGGGTTTATCAGTGTCAAGGTAAAATATGCAACTTCGTTTTGATGTCATTTGGTTCTTGTGCTTGTATTGAATTTGATTTTTATAACAGTGTGGCTAGATTTAGATGACGTTTCTTATCAATGTCCTGAAAAAGTACCGATTATAGTTGCGATGGGTTAGATCCCTAGTAATTGGTAATGAAGCATAAACTCTGCTTTTGCTTTTAGCAATCAGTTCCACCGGATCTTGCGGTAAGGAAGTAAAGGAATGCAGTTGAAATCAATAAGTTAATACGCTGTTGAAATCAAGTTTTTAACTTTCTCAAGTAATCACCTGAAATGCATTTCACTTTTTACCCTCAGCTTATAAAGATTTTATAAAACATATTCAACTGAGTGCATTCTTATTATAATTATAAAACAATTTCTCGTACTCCATATTGTTTGTTTGTTCCTAATTGTATATTTTATTTCAACCAGGAGCTTAAGGACATGCTTAATAGTGTTCCCGAGATTGCAGAATTGGTTGTAGTTGGAGATGCAGAGTGGATTCTGCTTGGTAGTGAGGACCATGAGAATGGAAAAGCCAAAACGGATATAGAGTCCATCTTCACTCGACTTATGTTACTAAGTAAAGATACAATTGCTGAGATGATTTCTAGACTGAAAAGACGCCTTTATCTAGAGAAAAAGGTACTTTCAAGTTATGTTTGCTGTAATTGTTGCCATTAAAAAGTTGATTTCCGCTAAACATATTGAAGGATATAACCCACACAATAACTAAAATCATAGCTCATTGTTCTGCTATCAGTATATACCCAATATGAAAGTGATAGGAACATTGTTGTTTGAATGGTCAGTATAACTAGAGAGTTCCACCATTATCATGTTTATGTTGATTGCATCACTAGGTTTTTCTTCAATTACAATATTCTTTGCTTCATTGGACCAGAAAAGGCATTTGACGGTTAAAGAACAACTGGTACTCAGATTGGAGAGTCAATATCCAGATGATGTGGGTGCAATAGCAGCGTTTTTTCTTAACTATGTGAAGCTGAACCGTGGTGAAGCAATAAGTCTTGGGCCAAATGAACCTCATGCATATATTTCTGGTGAATGCATTGAGTGTATGGCAACTTCTGACAATGTTGTTCGTGCTGGCCTTACCTCAAAACCATTGGATGTCCAAACACTTCTTTCTATGCTCGAATACAGACAGGTAACATAGATTTTCATTCTCGATTCTTTCCGTTTCTTGAGGGATGCTCCATCTGTCACTGTTGTCCAATAGATCAATAGGTCTATGCATTTGCCATGACTTCATCACTGTCTCATCTGTCAATGTCTGGCTGGATTTTACTGGATATGATCATCACGCCTTCTGGTAGATATGAGCATTCTAAAGAATATAAACCTGCTTGGTTCTAATCTATTGACATTGTTTTTTCAGGGTTCTCCTGAAATTATGCAAGGCATTTCTTTGAATCCATACACAACAAGGTATCTCCCACCTTTTGAAGAATTTGAAGTTGACTGCTGTAACCTTCCTCACTCTGCATCGGTGGTTTTTCCTTCAGTCCTAGGACCATCCCTCTTCCTGTTTACTGCCGGGAAAGGACATTTTGATGCAAGTCTGTCTGAGGATGATATAGTGACCGGTGATGATATAGTTGAAGAGGGTGAGGTTTTCTTTGTGCCTGCCAACACGAAGATTAGCATTACCGCCAAATCAACAGAACTACAATTGTATAGGGTGGGAGTGAACAGCAGAAT